AGGCACCTGAGGGGGGTCTGGGGGGAGTTTAGGGGGCTTTGGGGGGGACACAGGGACCCCTGGCAGGGTGGGGGCACAACCGAGGAGGGTCTGGGGGGAGTTGAGGGAGGTCTGGGGGGACACAGGGACCCCCATGACGACCCGAGGGGGGTCCGGGGAGGGGGTCGGGGGGCTCTTACCTGCCTGGCGGCGCGGCTGCCGGGCCCCCCCGGGACCCTCTCCCTGAGGAGGGGTCGCAGGAAGGTCCCCCAGAGCCGGGGGGGGTCCAGGCGGGCCAGGAGCGTCCGCAGCTCCTGCTCCGAGGGGGGGCCGGGGGGGGCCCCCTGATGCTGGAGTGGGGGGCCACCATCAGCACCACGGGGGTCCCCACGGGGTCCGGGGTGGGGGGGTCCCGTTAAACCCCCCAACTCACCGGGACGGGTTTCTGGGCGGGCCAAGCGATGAACAGGAAGGAGGCGGCGGCCAAGAACGACACGAGCAGCAGCGGCAGCAGCGGCCGCGCCGCGCGGGGGGGGCTCGGGAGGAGCCCCAGGAGCGGCCCCGGCCCCGGGAGCGGCCCCGAGCGCGACCCCCGGGCCGGGACAGAGCCCGGGAGCGGCCCCGGGCCGGGACCGGGACTCGAACCCGCGGCCCGGGGGCGGCGGGACCCGGAGGGGACCTGGCGCATGGCGGGGGCGGGGCCTCCTGGGGGCGGGGCCTCACCGGGGGCGGGGCGTCGGCGGGAAACGGCGGGGGCGGAGGGAGCCCAGTGAGGAGGGGCGGGGCTTGAGGGACAGGCCACGCCCACCGGCGGCGGCGGCGCGGGAGGAGCGGGACGGACACGGGGACAACAGGGACGGACACGGGACAGACACGGGGACAACGGGATGGACACGGGACAGACACGGGGATAACGAGACGGACACGGGGACAACGGGACAGACAGGGGGACAACGGGATGGACACGGGGACAGACACAGGGACACAGGGACGGACACGGGGACAACGGGACAGACAGGGGGACAACGGGACAGACAGGGGGACACAGGGAGAACGGGGACACCGGGACGGACACGGGGACAGACACAGGGACACAGGGACGGACATGGGACGGACAGGGGGACACCGGGACAGACAAGGGGACACAGGGAGAACGGGGACACCGGGACGGACACAGGGACAACGGGACAGACACGGGGACAACAGAGCACACACGGGGTGCGGGAAGGACACGAGACAGACACAGGGACATGAGACAGACACACAACAGACATGGGAACACATGGGACAGACACAGGGACATGGGATGGACACACAACAGACATGGGAACACATGGGACAGACACGGGGACATTGGGACAGACACCAGGACAACAATGGGGTGTGGGGGGACCCAGGACAGACCCACCAGCCCCAGCTGGGTCATCACTGCGGGGTCATCGCCACTGTCCTCCATGGAGCCACCCCCCTCTTTGGGGCCACCAGCCCACTGGGGTCACGACCTTTGGGTTGACCTCACTGTCCGCCATGGGGACACTCCCCTCCTTGGGGACACTGTCCTCCAGAGGGCCACCAGCCCATTGGGGCCATCACCGTTGGGTTGTCCCCATTGTCCCCCTCGGGTCACCCCCTCTCTGGGGACACTGTCCTCCACAGGGCCACCAGCCCACGGGGTCATTGCCACTGTGTTGTCCCCACTGACCTCTGTGGGGACACCCCCCATTCCCTCCCCTCACCCCTTCCCCCTCCACATCTCCACATTTTCACCATTTCCTTCCTTTTTGGTTTTTTTTCCTCCTCGGCCCTTCCCGGTGGCCACCACACGAGACCACCACGTCCCCCCCCCCCCCCCCCCCCCCCCCCCCCCCCCCCCCCCCC